GAATAACACAAAAACCACCAGAGGTTATCTCTCACTCTTGATCTCAAATTGTACTACTTAACTATAGTAATACAAACAACATAGCACCAGCATAAAAACAGATATCTTGATCAATGGAATAGAATTGAAGACCCTGAAATAAATCCATATACCTATGGACATCTGATCCTTAATCAAGCCAGAAATACACACCAGAAGAAAAAAAAGAGTATCTTCAACAATTGTGCTGGTCAAACTGGATGGCTACATGGAGAAGAATGTAACTAGATACATACTTATCAACCGCATAAAGCTAAACTCCAAATGGATCAAAGACCTTACTATAAATTAAGAATGTGATAGAAGAAAAAGTGGAGAGTAGCCCTGAACTCAATGGCACAGTTAAAAGTCTTTCTTAACAGAACACTTACAGCACAGGTACTAAGAGAAACACTTAAAATAGTACCTCATCAAACTGAAAAGCTTCTGTATGGATACCAGCATTATGACAAAGCACCTACAAAATGGGAAAAGATCTTTACCAAATACATTATCAATATAGGGCAAATAGCTACAATATATAAAGAATTTTAAAAAGTAGACACCAAAAAAGAGAGAGAGAGAGAGAGAGAAGGAATAGACCTAAACAGAGAGTTCACAAAAGTGAAACACAAATGGCTGAGAAACAAAGAAATGTTCAACATCCTCAGTCATCAGGGAAATGCAAATCAAAACCATCTTGAGATTTTTATCTTACACTAGTCAGGATGGCCGAAATGAATAAAGCAAATGACAGCTCATGCTGGAGAGGGTGTGAAGTATGGAGAACACTCATCTGTTGCTAGTGGAGTGCAAACTTGTACAGCTACTGTGGAAATAAGTGTGGCAGTTCCTTGGGAAGTTGAGGATAGATCTCCCTTAAGATGTAGCTACTTCACTCTTGGGAATATACCCAAAATACTCTACACCTTACTCCAGAGACATTGCTCATCCATGTTCACTCCTGCTCAATTCATAACAGCCAGATATTGGAAACATCCATTGACAGATGAATGGACAATGAAAATGTGATACATTCACAGAATGGAATATTATTCAGCTATTTAAAAATATGAATCATAAAATTTGTAGTTAAATGGATGAACCTAGAAAAACAAAGTCATCTCCAGCAAGGTAACCCAGATCTAAAAAGACAAATACAGCATGCATTCACTTATATGTGCATGTTTTTAAACTTTCTATGGGCATGGTAGATATAAAGTGAGAGATTAGGAGGCATGGGGAAACAGAATACTTAGAATACAGTTATGGTTATGGAGAGACAGGTGGGGGTGAGTGTGAGTAGAACCTGAAACAAAGGATTAAATAGACAGGGACAGAAGAGGATAAAAAAGAATACAGTGAGTGACAGCTAAAACTAAATGTCATTCAAGGCCATTCAAAGTATCATATTTAACCTACTACAATAGAGGCTTATTAATATATACACATAAGTTAAACAAATACTAATGAAATCACCAAATAATGGGGAAACAAAACTCCAATTAGACATCTCTTGCTACTGACTGAAACCTCCAGTACCAGAAATGAATTACATATAATTGAGTTGTTGGCTAAATGAGCCCCGTGGAAACTTCTAAACAACTCAGGCTTTTTCCAAGGCTATTGATTGCTGTCTACTGATTGTTAAGCACCATTGCCAAAGACAACATAAACATATCTCACTGAACACACACAGAAAAAAAAATCAAGCTGGTGCTTAACCAAAGCTGGTACTCTGCACACTACCAAAAGTAAGCATCATTTCAGCTATAAACCCTTTGATAAACAATGGTGACCTGCATGCATGAAACACTTTTACAGTCGTGGCACAAAGTCCTGGGAGTAAGCAATCACTCTCTGACTGGTTTTAAGGTATACTCCATGAGATTGAACCCATGCCTGACACTTCCTTGGGGGCCAAGAACCTGAGACTAGATGGCCAGGAATGTAGGGAAAACCAAACACCATTGAATTCCTAAAAGAATGATTCCTATGTTGTGCTGTACCCATCAGTGCCTTGCTCAGCCATCATCAGAGGAGCTCCCACCTACAGACAATGGGAGCAAATGCACAATTGGACAGACAATGTGTCGGGAGTGAGGGACCTCAGAATACTCAGTTCTGTATGGGGTGTCTTCATCAAATCAGGGAGATATGTGGAGGAGGAAGAAGAAAAACTGTAAGAGCCAGAGGGGATGAAAGACAGCAAGGAAGCAGTGCCATCCAGATACACACACAAACTCAGAGACTGGGGCAGATTGTACAGGGCCTGTACAGTTCCAAATCAGATGGCCCAGTGCTGAAAATGGGAAATTGACATGATTCCATCTCTAACCACAAAGCTATATACAATAGACAATTGTTCACAAAGGAAAAATTTGTTTTCTCCAATGGAGTCTCACTGGACATGTTATCCACACTGAAGGGCAGGCCCTATACCAACCAGTAGGTGGCCAACACAAAACAAACACAATGAATGGTACTTTTGTAGAAGGGTCTGAGCATTTTTTTTATTTCAACCTTACTGCTCTTTTGCTTACATATTATGGTTTCCAATTTTGTGTTTTTATGCTCGTCCTCTCCTCTCTCTATAAAAAGAAAGAAGGCACGATGTTGTATGGGTAGGGAAGAAGGGAGGATCTGGGAGATGAGGGAGGGGAAACCCATGATCAGAATATATTGTGTAAAAAAATAACTTCAATAAAATAAAAGACTTTCCTTCCAGAGAATCCATGCTTGAACTATTGAGGGAAGAATGATGAAAACCCACCACAAGCCTTGATGGGTTTTCCTATCCCACTTTCAGTATTTATGCGGATATAGTGAAGTCTTCATAATCCCAAAAGCAAAGTTCACAGAACTTCTGGACAGCTCAGCATATGCAGGTATAAGAAGGAAAACAACAACTCATCCATGTGTTGGGAAGATGGCCCACCCAACTCCACAGGAATCGAAGCTTGGCACTTATGGCCCTTGTAGACCTTCCTTTACATGAATTTCTTTATCTGTCTATTTGTATCATTTCAAATATTCTTTACGGCTAATCATTAGACATAAGTTGTAGTGGTTGTCTGAGTTCTTGTTTTGCTCTAGTAAATCAAGTTGTCACATGGATGAAGCCGTGTGAACCCCAGTTTATAACTTTGAAGCTCTAGCTGTGATTAGGTCTGAAGTGACAGTCTTGGAAAGTAGTCCTCAACATGTGAGCTCTGACTATGTTTGGGGCAGACAAGTCATAACTGAACTAGCTGATTTCCACAGATGAAGAGCTGCTTGCTTGCTTGCTTGGAGGTATGGAGCAATCCCTATACCTTTTGAGTTCACAACTCTAGAACTAGACAGCAATGTACCTGTGGCACATTCACATACTGAAGGTTTAGGGGCCATGAATTGGACTTGTCCTCCAGCACATGGGCGAGAGGCAGGCCAAGGTAAGGTCAGTACTGTCTATTGAATGAAAGACAAAACTTCATACATATTTTAGAATAGTATTATAGTGGGACTATATAAAATTTAAGAAGTTTCTACATAGTAAAGAACACAAATGATAGAGTGAAAAGACAACTATAGAACAGGAGAAAATATCTTCAAACTACTTATCTGATGGGGATTAATATCCAACTCATACAAGGAGACCAAACAACTGAATAAAAAAAAAAAAAAAAAAAAAAAAAAAGAGGTCTGACTGGGGACCAGAGAGATAGCTCAGCAGTTAAGAGCATTGATTGCTCTTCCAGGTACTGAATTCAATTCCCAGCAACCACATGGTTGTTCACAATCATCTATTGTGAGATCTGATGACCTCTTGTAGCATAAAGACATACAAGCAGATGGAGCTCTCATATACATAAAATAGGTCTGACTGTAAAATCAGTAAATAAAGTCAGGTATGGTGGCCCATGCCTTTAATCCCAGCTCTTGGGAGGCAGAGACCGGTGATCTCTGAGTTTGAGTCCAGCCTAGTCTACAGAGCAAGTTCTAGACTGGCCGACTATATGGAGAAACCTTGTCTCAAAAAGCAAAACAAAACAAAGCAAACAAAAAAATTGGTAAATAATCCAAATAAGTATTTCTCACAAAAGGATATAAAAGTGGCCAATATATACATATGACATAATTATACAGAGAAATGTGAAGCATATCCAGTGCAACAGACATCTCCCTCTCAATCTTGTTAGAATGGCTATTATCAAAGACAAGAAATAAATCCTGACAAGGATACAGAAAAAGGAAAACTCTCATACACTGGGAATGCAAATTAGTGTCGTCATTTTAGAAAACAGTATGCAAATTCCTGAAAACATTTAAAATAAAACAACTACATGATCCAGAAAACTCACTATCGGTATCTATACAAAGAAAATGAAATCAGTATGTCCAAGAAACAAATGTACTCCCATGTTCACTGCAGTAGCAGCCAAGATATACAAGCAACCTACACAGTCATTAATGAACAAATAAGGAAAATATAGTACACATACAGAATACAATATTATTTAGCCAGAAATGAATGGAACTGGTAAACATGAAAACAAAAGTTGATCTCATGGAGCAGAGTAAAACAGTTGTTACCAGAGTCCAGGAAAAATTGGAAGAAAGGGATAGAGTGGCTTAATATGATCAGTTTGATAGGAAAATAAAGGCTAGTTCCATGATACAGTAATAGCTGGCAATAAATTATTTTCTATTTCAAACCAGGTAACAGAATGAATTTTGAATGTTTGTCCACACAGAAAGACAAATATTTGAGGTGACAGATAAGGTAATTTATCCTATTTGACCATTATACATGTCAAAATCTTAAATCATACTCCACAAATACATACAATTATCATATGTAATTTCAGAATGGAAAAAGATATATTTAAACCAAGCACTATTTTTCCTAAAAGGGAGCTACCACTGGTGCCAAACTTCCAGTCTTGGCTGGCTGGGTGAACAGAACCAGAGTGTAGCCTAGGGTTTGGAGGGAGACTTACCAGACTGCCTGCATCACAGTGGTCAATGGGTCGATGGGCTGTATTCAGATCCCCCAGAATTATCACATGACTGAAAAACACATTGGGGGATTGTCATCTGCGCATTCAAGAATGAGGAATTCCATATACAGTTTTTCCCAGGCCCGAAAGCTCAAGACAGGCAACCTCCTACCTAGAGCCTCTTGCTATGAATTACTCATAGCAGTGTGCCTCTTTCATTCTTCCCTCTTGACACATTCTGGAAGCTCCTCACACACGAGGAACCAAATTCAGAGCAGCAAAGTTGACACTGCTCTAAATGATATGCATGCTTCAGTGATCTCTATCTAATGCCAACTTTCTCACCCTTCAAAGCTGAGCTCAAGCAACACTCCCGGGAGGAAGTACCCCTTCCTTATGCTAACCTACTTTCACCTTTTTCAGGTTTATCCTTGGAACAAATACGTTACCACCCTCAACTTATTTTGTCCTCAAAAATCTTTTGTGGAGAAGGGATTCACACAGGCATTTGACAAAAGAGGGCACGGAGTAGAGCTGCCCTCGAGGCTTACAATAAGTGAAGAACCAGAAAAAAACTGCTCAAAGTACAACGCCTGTGATCACGTCACTTTACTCTGTCCTCTCATAGCTCTTAAGATAGCAACACCTGTACAGGTCAGCACGACAGTGTTCAAAACCAGACTGTGAAGGAATTTGACAAAATTCTATGTCCTTTCACGAAGCAAGGCACTAGGTCTGTCACCAAAATGAGTTCAACCAAAGCCTGGCTGCCTAGATTTACAGTACCTGCCAGCTGCCAGGAGGGCTTCTGCTCGGATCTGCAGTAGGCGATAGAACCGCATTTTAAAGGTCAACCGTTCAGGCTTTCCAGGATCCGCATGAGGACAGTACACATTGATGAGGGTCAAGGTCTTCTCCTTCCCTTCCAATGTGCTGGGGAGAAAAGAGTAGCCCTTCAACAGGTTAGTTTCAAGATTTCCCTTCCATAAGCACACCATGCAGTGTCCAGTTAATGGTTGTCCATGACAGAATAAAAAAGGTTTGGGAGACACAAATGAGCAGGCACGAGCAGGTCTTGGGGATGGACTCTGGCTGAGGCAAGGAGGGCATAGTACCCAGGTAAACTTGGTGATAATACTACCATTCATGAGACAAGATACCCAAAAAGAAACCCATTTGGGACAATGAGTTCTATACTAGCTAAGCTCCTTCTGAGTAGCCTGTGGTAATTAGAGAGCTGTACTACCAGGCTAGTCTCCGACTGTAGAAAAGGGAACACAAGTTTCAGAAGAAAGCATGATTTGCCAGGATCATTTAGCCCAGCCAGTACTAGAGTCTAGAAAGGCAAGTTCAGGAACTTTTCTACAGCAGTTGCATACCTATAATGTGAACCTTATATTCTGGACACTAAGATTAGAACCAGAAATGGTCTGTAGTAGAAGGATATGAGCTATTACCGGATCTTATGCTGTGTAAGGAGGGCCCGGCCCTCACTATCCAGAACCCGGAGTTCCTCTTGAGTGAACTCATCCATGTTTCCATAGCAACCAACATCCCCATTCAGGGTGGCAAACACACCACTCAGACCTTCTTCAGCAGCCACTGGGGTAGTACTGTCCTTACAAAAGGTAGCCACACCTGCAGACAAAAGTATTCTCAATGGGACTGGCAGCCAAAACAATACTGTGCAGCCTATTCCACTCCAAATGTCCCCATACAAGGAATAGTTTTGGTTATCTTTGTTAAATCTGTTTTTAAAAATACATGAACAGTCCTCTTAACTTGGAGGCCATATATGGATCTGTAGAAGCTGAAGCACCTAACCTATATATACCCTGAGGGCTCACCTTCATCTAAAAAGGCTACAAAATAATGTTAGGCTTTATGAGAACAATAATAATATATTTTACATGGATACATGGCAAATGCTGATGAAATAGTGGCTATTTAGTATTATCACACGTAAGGATGTGTAAACCCATGTAATAACTTAGAAAGTAAACATTAGCCTCATTTTCTATGTAAGAAACCTGAAATACAAAGGTAAAGTATCTTGCCAGAGAACACATAGCTAGGAAGTCGGCCATGACTTGAAACCTAGCAGTTTATTTCCAGAGCTCACAAAATCAACCATGACATTACTATACTTCTGAGGGTCAAATGGGTCATTTGGTACATAAATATTAGCTCTGGAGATGAAAAGTTGAAATATATTACCTTCTCATTAAATACCAAAACACTTTTCTGCTACTTGCCTCCATCACCAACACTAACTTAAAAATACCCACAGAAGACTCCATTTACCAGAATAGCCACTCCGGCTGCGGCTGAAGCTGAAATAGGAGTTATAGCCTTCAACAACAGCCAGGGGCTCTGTCAGTACATCTCCTGGAAAACAAATGTAATATAAAGTCAGAGGTAAAACTAGCACTGTGGACTCATGAAAGACTGAAATTACAGTTACACGCTAATTACTAACAGACATCACAGCCATAACTGGGAGGAGGGGAAAGAAGTGTTTATGATGACAGGAGTTAGAAAGATAGAAAGGCCAGAAAGGGAAATGATATTCAAATTAGATGGGGAAGCAGGGAAAGCTGAGCAGAGCAAATCAGAGGTCAGTCCTGTGGTCTAGGTGATGAGAGGACTGGTGAGGGGGATGCTGGCAGTGGAGACTGGGGATCTGAAGTGAGGGTAGGACAGGAAATTAGGCATATAAATTGGGATGATAGGAGAAGAAATTGGGACGTCTCTGTTTGAGGTAAGGCATGAGACAGGAATCTGGGGCTCTGAAGTGGAAGAGAAAAGAGGATTTAGGGCTATGGAAAGGAGAAAATTAAGAGTCTGGGCCGAGAACAAAGATTAGGAGGGAATTAAAGGACTGAGAGAGGAGTAGGAAAGAACTGAGGAATATGGCTTAGGAGCATGAAAGGAGAAAATTCAAGGCACGGAGTTGGGGGGCTAGAATGGGTGGGATCTGCGCTTGAGGGTTTCAACCAGGGAAGTAGGGCAGGAGTGAGAATTAGGGGCTCTAGCTGGGGTGGTCTTTAAGAGGAAAGGGATCCTTACTTTCAGGTGTGTATAAGGCCAGGATTCTAAGTATGGGTAAATGAAAAATGAGGTGAATTTAGGTAGAGCAGGGAGCAAATATTAGCAGAAAGAAAACACGGTAGAGATCCTGAATTCTCGAATGCTTACTGGTCACTTTGGTCTCCTGGAGGCAGACAATATCAGCATCCAACTTGTCCAAAATCCGTCGTAAGGCCGTGGGACAGTTGCTGGATTCCTGGCATGTCAGTCCTTGCAGGGGACTCCGGATCCCATTGATGTTCCAGCTTACGACGCGCAACATTTTGATAAAACAGTAAGGGTTTTACAAAGCAGGCTTAAAGCGCGGAAATTCATTGCAGGCCGGAAATGAGCTAGGTCTCCGCCTTCCGCATGCGTTTGCGCAGGCGTTCTACTCTGGCTCTTCCTTCCCACCTCCACCCCCCGCCCACGACGGCAGGACGCACGCAGGGCGTGGCTTCGAGTTCAGTTCTCACAGGCGGGAGACGGAACTGAGGTGGAAGCTCTAGGAAAATCGGGCTTGGGCGTACAAGTTTGTAACCCCAATACTCAGGAAACTGAGACAGGGGCAGTCATGAATTCATGGCCAGCCTGGGCAACATAACAAGACCCAGTCCAAAACCTGGGAAGAGTGACTGGTGAGAAACGCGTCCCTGGTTGGGCTCCTTTTCTTCTGGCCACACCCTGGCCTGGACGCCCGAGTCTGACTGCTTTTCTCGACACAAAAAGTCCCCTTGAAGCGTCAGGTTATTTACAGATGGGATTTTGTCACTTTGTCAAGGGCGGGCCTCTGGGGAAACAAACTCAGCCAAAGCTCTGCCCCCCACTGAGGCAGAACTCCAGTTTAAGTGAGCGGCCCCTGGCGGTGGCTGAGGGGCCTCTGCCCCTGGAGTCCCATGGGCAGGGGCAAAGGGAACTTTTCTCACTTGAAAGATGGAGCAGTTAAGAACCTAGCTACTAGCGAAAGACGTAGGAGGATGGCCTCTGTTTTTACTGAGTCTGGAGGCAGGAGACTACCTCAAATCCTCCATGTATAGCCATGTTTGTCTTGGCTCTCGTGGCATGTAAAGGATGAAACAGAACACATACTTGGATTTGGCTCCATTTCTCAGATGAGCAAAATTGAGGCCTGGAATATTAAGCTTCAGGATAGTATTGTCTCCCCATGCAGCGATGGTTTTCCCGTCTACATTGTGTCCTTTCATTCTTAGGATAAACCAGGAAAAGGCGCGGAAGCTAAGTAGAAGTTGGGTTAATTCGTCTCAGTCTCACAGAAGTGGTAGAGCCAAGATTTAAACCCTTCTTAATCAGGTAAATGATTGGGTTTTTTTTTTAGTTAATATTTTCTGTCCACATACCTCTGCATTTAAGTATTTTCCTGTGGGCACCACTGTACTCTCGTCCATTCTGTCACAGCATTTACTACAAAGTACAACTCTCACTGATTTCTGTTGTCACTAGACTGCCACAGCCTGAATGCAGTGGCCATCTTTGACACAAATACATGATAAGGAAATAAGTATTTCACAGATGGCTATAAACAGGGAAATAGCAATGGGTTCTTGACTTATTTTGAGAGCACAGAAACAGAATTAACAGTCATAGCCCAATTTCCAGGGCAAAGTATAACTTTCCACCCTAAGATTTTTTTACTGAAAATTACTGGAACACACACACAACTTCAAAATTTCACAGTTTTAGAGCCATCATCTTCTGTGACTGCAGAAGAACCATAGTGAGCTACTTCGCTATCCCCAGAGGACTTAAAGGTTACTAGTTATTGCCATCAGAAAAAAAAAAAACTGTAATTAAGAAAAGTCTGTGCCTTGAGCTTTTTCATGCTTTGGGAGTTACTGGCTATGGATCAAATCCCAGGAGTGGGTTAACTAGGACAGGGGAAATGAACATTTTTTTTTCTCATGTTGCCAGATTGCTTTCAAGCAAGGGATTTTGCCCATACTGCACTGAAGTCAGACATGAAGCTCAGCCCCAAGGAAATCCAGTTCTTTCTCACCTCAATAGCTGGTTTTAATTTCCCCATTCTCCAGCAACTTGTTAATATTAGTACCGACCTTTGGGGCAAGGTGAACACATGGTTGGACTGAAGTGAAAAGGCTCTGGGTGGCTCAGGAACTCCTTTGGCAGCTACAGCAGCTAATATTTCAACACTGCACACACCCCTTAACAAGGGTGCTTCCTCAGCCTTCCCAGGAACCAACGGATGTCTCCGGGTTTCCTATTTGATGCCACTCACTGGACCTGCTTTGGGGGTCTGTAAATGCAGGAGAGCCATTGGATTATTAGCGATGGAAGAAAAAGCATCTAAGAGAACAGGTAGGTGAGAAAAAAAGGAAAAATAGACAGGTATTTCACAGGTCAAAATCCTTGCTTCAGGCTCTTGGGAAGGTTTTCTTTGCATATGAGTTTGATTGAGCTATATTAAAGGGAATGGAAGTGTTGGGAATAGGTGATGTGTGTATCTAATCTATCAGTATTTTAAAATCCAGTTGTACTTGACTTTGTAGAACACTGGCCTAAAGGGCAATCCCCTACTATCTTTGAAATTCCAATTTTCATTTTATTTCATTTAATTTTGGAAATAGAGTCTGTTTCCCATGCTGGCCTGGAACTTTCTGTGTATCCCGGACTGGCTGTGATTGTTTGATCCTCCCAGCCTAGCTTCCAGCTGTGTAGTACATTTTTAAATGTACAATAAAGTCTGTATCTCTGACCTCTCCTCTCCTAGTATATGAAGTAGAGTTGATTTGCTATGAAACTTTGACAAGTTCTTTAGTTTCTCTGGCTGTCCATAGACACCTTAGTAGAATATAAATTAAAACCCGTAGCCTACTTCCCTCAGAGATCTGGCTTGATGATAAAGAAAGGGTAGAGTGGGGGAGGTAGAACCCAGAACTCTTTGGAGACACTTCAGGACTTTCAAGCTGTGCCTGAGATTAGTGCTCTTGGCTTTTATGTGGCATCCACAGGTAGTACCACCCACAACCCTCTACGTGTGCTCCTTCCTGACTGACTGTGGTCAACGAAGAGCCACTCTTATGACTAGAATGCTGTGAGCTTTGCAGACCAGATGTGAGTCTGAAAATAGAGGAGCAATGGGACAGCGTGGCTGCTATCAGAGAAGTCCTGATGTGTACTCATCTAAGAATCTAGCCCGTAAGCATGTGATCAGCCATCTGTCAGCCTTTTAGCTGTAACAAATGCATCCACAATCATGCATTTCAAGACTTGCCAATACAGAGACCGTATTTATGATTTTATTGCCCATATATACTGTTTTGATGCTTTAAATGAGACTCCTCCCCACACTCTGTACTTGGACGTGGGAGCAGGCTCTGCGAGTCTTCAAAAGTCAAACTTCATAGTTTTCTTCCATAGAGATAGTCTCTCTTTAAAATTTATGGTTCAACCTTTAGCCTTGACTGAATCTGATGCTGAGTGAACCCTGTGTGTATAACCAATGCAATAAACCTTAGAGGGAATTTCATAATTTTATTTATTCTATAACATCCCAAAGTTTTAAAACCTTCTTAGATGCCACTCTTTACCTCAGACAAACCAGCTCTCCCATCCATTCCCCTGAAAGCTGTTATAATACCTATGGTGAACTGGGACTTCTCATCACCATGTTTATCTCATCTGCAGCAGAGAGATGTAGACTATGAACATGGTCACTGAACAAGTGTCCTCTATACCAGAACCTGCGATGAACACTCAGTAGATCACAGGGATCCAGGCTCCATCTTCAAGGAGCCCACAGTCTTCTTAGGTAAAGAGAACCCTTGGAATGTAGAAGCACATGGGCAATATGAGAACCAAATATGAAGTGCCTCTAAAGGCTACAAGGCTGACTTTCAGAGTAGTTAAACACTAAAATAGGCCTTGATGAGCAAGGCAGAGCTCAGTGATAATGTAAGATGCTCCAGGCTGAGCAAAAGCTGTGTTTGGGGGCACATGGGCAGTATGAGAACCAAAGATTAAGCCTCTCTCAAGGCTACAAGGCTGACTTTCAGAGAAGTTAAACACTAAAACAGATCTTGATGAGCAAGACAGAGCTCAGTGAGAATAGAAGATGCTCTAGGCTTAGCAAAAGCTGTGTTTGGGTACCCTGTGAATCAGCCAGTGCAGGTTAAACATGGGAATCTGAAGGGTAGCACACTGAATAGGTAGGTTGGAACTTGACTTACAAGAGGTTTGAATGCTAATCTGAGGCATTTCTAGAAGGATTTTTTTGTTTGTTTGTTTGTTTTTAATTTCTGGGCTCAGAATTGGTAACAGTGGTGAAGAGTTTCATAGGCAAGTTTAAATTTTTAAATTAGGTTATCAAACCTGGACCCTGAGTGTTCCTTTCAGACCTTGTCACAAGCCTTCTGGCTGCCTAGCTCAGATTTCTTGCTACTAAAATTATCTTCCTGATTCTTGGCAGTGTCACAAGGACAAATTTGTAAACATAAAAGATATGTTCATGTGTTTGGCTAGATTACCTTGGACAAGCCATCCCCTCCTCAGACCCATTTCCCTGTGTTGCTACTATGGATGTTTGAAATGAACATGTAAAATAACCGAAATGTTGCATTGTGAGCATTGGAAACCACACACAGTCATGGTAAGAGCTTTAAAACAGACTTACCCTAGCTGTGTGACTTATTAGGATTAAGAGACTTGTGTCTTGCAAAGTCTATTTCTGAGACTCTAGGGGTTCTCTGCTAATCTGAAAGACCTAGGCATTTTTTTTTTACCTTTAAATTGACACATAATTGTACATACTTGTATGGTACTGTATGATACTTTAATATTGCATATAATGATTACTTGGCATATGTATCACCGCAATATTTATCATTTCTCTTCTATACCAGCTACTTTGAAGTATATAATTATCTGTTGTCAACCATAGTTACATGCTGTATTCTAGAATATCACAAATTACTCCTCCTATTCACTTGAATCCTGGACCTATTGTTCTCTCTTCCCCTCTCCTTTCCCCACTAGTCTATACTCTGCTTCTTACCAACATCTTTTAGGTTCTGCAAATAAGTGAGACTTTCTATGCCAGACTTAGTTAACAGAAACTAAAAATGACTACCTCTCTAATTGAGTTTCAGGAACTCTGTACAGTGTAATTGTTAATCCTGCTTCATAATATCATGATGAAGCTTACAGATTACTTGGATAAAAAAAAGAAGGACAACTCATTAATTTCACAAAGAAAACAACAATGTGAAATAATATATATTTAGCATTCCTCGGGTTTCTTTATGTATGTCAATACATTTGATCTTCACTAACACTGAAGGAATATGCACTACTTTCCTTCCTTATATACTAAATGAAAAAGCAAAACAAAAC